TGAATGTGTAAAGAAGAACTGAGCCCGAGCAGTTCTGGGGATTGCCTCTCCCTGTGGTTGATTCCACTCCTCAGATCTAGAGGCAAAGAAGAAGGTTCTTGAATCAAGCCCAGACCTTCAGTGGAGTATATTGCTTGGTTTCATGACTCTGGGAGCTGCAACATAGAACTTTGCTATTCGAAGGCGCTTGGTTTATAGAGCAGCGCCGTGGCTGCCGCTGGGGAGCCTGTTAGAAATACAAAGTCTTGGGCGCCCTGACAGAGTTATGGAACCAGAATCTGCATTTTAACAAGACCACCAGATGATTCATGGACACATTAAAGCCTGAGAAGCATGAGGCACTGGTATGGTGCAGGGTTTCCCAGTTTTACAGCATATTGAAATCAGATGATAACTTTTAAAACTCTTATGCCCAGGTTCCATCCTAGGCCAATTAAGTCTGATGGTCTTCAGATAAGATTCATAATTCTACACTTTTAAAATTGTGGTCAAATACCCACAGCATAAAATTTACTATTTAATCACAACCAAAAATTCACCTTGGTGGTGGTGCAAAGCCTACTCACAGCGTTGTGCCACTGTCACACCATCCATCTGTAGAAGTTAATTCATCTTCTCATCTGAAGATACAGTCATCAAGCCCTACTCCCCACACTGATTCTCCACAGCCTCTGAAAAAACACATTCTGTTTTCTGTCTGTATGCGTCCAGATTACTCCCAGTACCTCATACAAATGGAGTCACACAGCGTCTGTCCTTCTGTGACTAACTACCTTACTTTACATGCTAAAGTGTGTTCAGGATTTGTCTACATAGTAGTGTTGGCCAGAATTTCTGTTTTTGTCATGGCTGAATAACATCCTATGGTTCATGTACGCCATGTTCTGTCTATGCATCCACAGACACTTGGGTGTCTTGCATCGTTTGGCCATCCTACTTACTACTGCTGCCCTGTACATAAGTGTATAGGTATCTATTACTCCTGGATTCTCCCAGAAGCCCTTGCTCTTACTCTTCCATCAAGAAGCCTGGGTTGAACTGTGAAAGGAGTTCATTACTTGAGGCATAAAACTTGACAAAGTCATACGGGTCAAGAGGCCCACGTCTTTGTGTTCCATTTAGGAACACATGTCAAACAGCCCAGACCATCGGGGGTGTGCATATTACAAAGTCACCAATGTCTGAAAGACCGCTCTTTAAACAAACAATGAGAGTCATCCAGTTTCCATGATGAAGTTGGTGTGTGTTGGCCAGGCAATGGCTTAGGAATGGGTCTCATGGCCCCCAAAAAGAGTACTGAGTTTTCCTGCACATTCTTAAAAAGGCCAAACTTAAGAGTTTAGATGTAGATTCTCTAGCCACACAACATATCTGGGTTGAACAAAACACCCAAGGTGACCTTCAGAAGTCATTAGCCCATACATGAGCTCCTTTGTCACATGGAGACCATCCTTGCAGCAAAGGAGCCAACTATTCCTAAGCCAGGAGAGGGGGTTGCATAGAAGAAAAAGATACCCCAGCACATAATAAATGCAATCAAGTTTTTAAAAATCTGCTTCTTTCAGTTTTGGGGCGCCCATTCAGAAGAGGAATTTCTAGACCACATAGTAGTTCTAGTGTGAGGGTTTTAAAGAACCGCCACACTGTCTTCCCACACAACTACACCATTTCCCTTCACCCCAGCAATGCACAGGCCCTGGCCCTCCCCATCCTCGCCAGCACCTGTTATTCTCTGAATTTTTATTATTGTTGTTGTAGTCAACCAGTGCAAGTGAAATATGTCATTGTGGTTTTGATCTGCATTTGTATATAATTAGTGGGGTTTCATGCTCTTGTGGGCCATTTGCATATCTCTGGAGAAATTCTATTCAGGTCTTTTGCCCACTTCGAATCAGGTTCCTTCTTTCTTTTTCCTTTTTTTTCTTTTTCTCTTTTCTTTCTTTTCTTTCCCTCCCTCCCTCCCCTCCTCCTCCTTCTCCTCCTCCTCCTCCTTCTCCTCCTCCTCTTGCTTCTGCTTTGATGCTGTGCTATAGGAGTGTTTTATTGATATACTATGGATGGTAATAACCTATCAGATGTATAGTTGTCAAATGCTTGTACCTATTCTGTGGTTGACTTTTCATTCTTTAGTGCGTGTTCTTTGACGCACCAAGTTTCTAATTTTGATATAGCCCATCTTGTCTAATTTCCCTCTGTCGTCTGTGTCTTCTCTAAGAAATTGTTGCTAGGCACGAGAACTTTGTGGAGCTCCTCGTGTGATTTCAGTGTTCAGCCAAGACTGTGCGATGCTTCTTAAATTTTAACGTATGTACAAATCAGCCGGAATCTTGTTAGAATGGGTTCTGATTTAGTAGGTCTTGGGTGGGACCCAACAACCTGCATTTCTAATAGGCTGCTAAATGATGCTTCTGATGCTCTATGGGTGGACCACTCTGAGTAGCCAGGATGTGAAGGAGCATGCCAGTGTTAGCCTCCATCCGGAGAGGGGCAGATGCAGTTACCATAGCTCCTCATAAGCTTCCCCACTGTCACTGTTTCCTAACCTGCGATCAAGATAGCCCAGTACTAACCACCTCGCTTCCTAAAGCTGGTCCTCAGCACCCCCAGGAATGGGTATATGGGGTACCTTAGGCATGGCAGAAAAATTAGACATAAGGAGCACAAACCCTAAGCCTGATCCCCAGTGTACCCCAAGACTGTTATTAATAGTGTACTCCACTCCAGCCCTGGCCCTTTAGAGGAAAATACTATAGAGGACCCTTCTGGAAAGTTGTTTTCTTTTGAGTGGGTTTAATAGCCTCAGAAGGGAAAGCCATACAGGCTGGCATGAGGTTAGCAGAAACAGTTTGTAGACATGCGGTGGAGACTTCTGAATATCTCCTTTTAAAACTTCCTTTCATCCACCATGGATTCTTGAAGCTAGAAAGGCCCCTCAGAGGTCTCTTCCCAAACCTATATTTCAAAGGAAGAGAGCAGGAACCCAGTGGTATTCAAACTCGTCAAGATCACCAAGCAAAGTTGAGGTCAACCCATAGGTATTTTTCCCCCCAGAGAAAAGACAAAAATCAAGAGGCTGGGTCACATGACTCTGTTCTCTTTAGAACTTTCTCCAGTTAGGTGGCTCTCACCCTACTAGGATCTAACCCCTGTCTCAGTGACCCAGATGGCAGCTGCAAAGGAGCGGACGGGCTCCAAGGAGGCAGCTCTCATCACGGGCGCTGTAAGCTGATCACATATCCCAGCCGCTGCCAATCAATTGGATTTGGCTCTCATGTAGGAGTTCACTATTGTCCCTTCAATAGAAGTCATGCTATCAATAAAGTCAAATAAAATAAAAAGTCTAGTGACCTTCAGATCTGTGCTACACTTCATCATGTCCACCTTGCCTATTAAATACTCTTTATCCACCCACACCTGCTTGTAAAGATGGCTCTGGGTTTCCTTAGCCAGAGAAATGTCCTGCTCGGCTGCAGAACTCTGATAGCTTGTGCTCGATGTTAGTAGAAGATGCCGTCTTAGCCAGAGGGCTCTTAATTTGGAATGACCTCATTTGGTATTGTGGTATCATGGGAGCACATGGGCTCCCAACATGTGCACTTCGAACACACTACAAGAACCTCCTTTAATGATGGATCCTACATGGTCTCTACCCTCCGATGGCGCTCTGCCCCTGCATTTCTCTACCGCAAGACATCAAGGAGGCTTCAGATTCTGTTTAGATCTAAAGGCAGTGCTTGGACCCCCCGTTTTGGCCTCTGGGTCCTTGACCTAGAGCACGAGCTCATTTTCTGGCAGGAGCATCTGTCTCCATATGGGGAGACAGTCTTCAGATCTCCTTTGCTCTTCCCTCATTAAGATGTCAGTCCGGCTCAGCCTTGTTCTCTGCTGCCAGATGCACTGACAAGCAAGCAGCCAAGTTCTAGCAGGAGGCTCGCTGCGTTCTGAAGGCGGGAGGGTAGCACTTTGCTGCTGGATTGGACCTGCGCGGGCTTTCTGGAATTCCACGAGTGTCTGGGGAACATTCTGTGAGGTCCAGTTCTCTGCTGATGACAGAGTCTTAGAGTGGCCCTAGCTTCAGCATTCCAAATGGTTTTTGCTCTCACTTAGAGCAGGCGGCCATTCTCAGCTGAGTGCTATCTCCCGGCCATTCTCAACTGTCTCCTGGGTGAGTGCCACTGGCTCCCATGGTCCCAGGCTGTTTGGCAACACCCTGAGTTATGTTAGAGATATAATAATGAATTATACAATGCATTATACATAATTAATTTATAATAAAACACACACACAATGGTTTAATTTCTCCAAGTGAATGATGTGCTACCTGCCAGACCTCACTGGAATGCATCTTCTGACTGCCTCTTAGTCTGGAAGCAATGGCCAACAGCCCTTGGGAGGGATCTTGTCTTGGGGAGCCTACCAGGCTACCTCTGGGGTATGTCCCACAGGAGAGCAATCCCTCACTACCTCTATTGTTGCTCTGGACCCAGTGACCTGTGTGTGTGCGGGGGTGGAGGGGAGGAGGGTTCCACCCCCACTTCTGCATTGAAATCTGTTATTTGCCTCGTTCAGAGTATAGGACATCCTTCCTTCCATCTTCGGTTCCTTCATTCCTTCCTCCCTTCCTTCCTCAAATATGTCCTGACTGCTCCTTGCATAACTTATTCTTGGCTTGATGCATATCAAGTAAGTAAAACAGACAAATATCTATGGCAAAGTAGATCTTGTACTCTAGCAGAAGGTGACAGCCAGTAACTAAGTGTGAGGCACAGTAAATCCCATTGCAAATGGTCCAGTGATGGGTGTACGGAAGAGGGGAAAGACCAGCACTAGTGGCCCACTGGGATGGAGGCAGGTTGTAGTTTTAGGATAACAGCGCACATACAAAACAGTGGTCTTAAGATGACTAAGACAAGGGGAGAATGCCCACACAGCCTCCTCCCCAGGACTGAATTTGCCCAGCTCTGGAGCCTTTCAGTAAAGCCTGTAACTTTTGCTTTCAGATGGTCAGGATGGCTTTGCTCCTGCTGCCGCCCCTGTGGCTTCTGCCTCTCACTGGGGGATCCCAGAGGGCTGAGCCCATGTTCACTGCAGTCACCAACTCAGTTCTGCCCCCTGACTATGACAGCAACCCCACCCAGCTCAACTATGGAGTGGCAGTGACAGATGTGGACCACGATGGGGACTTCGAGATCGTTGTGGCAGGGTAAGTACCTCCCACCCTGAGTCTGACAGATGTATTAATCAGCTTTTGCAGCGATACGGTTGTGTGACAGGAACTCCAAACCACAGTGCAGTGGCCGGTGCTTGTTCTCGCTTGGGTCTGCGGTCCTTTGTGGTCAGCACCTGCCTGGCTGGCAGAGCTGCAGCTATGGGATGTCGTGGCTTTGTCCTTGCAGAGCAGGGACATGGGGCAAATAACAGCTTAGAGGAAAGCTATCTGCAGGCTGCCTCTTGTCACACGTCAGCTCCCTCGGCCATGCAGGTACCCCTTCCTTCCCAGTGAGGTTCTACACGGACAGGACATAAAGGTATTAGCCTGTAGAAGGGGTTGCTGCGTGCTCACTGATTCCCACGGCACTTTACATAAGGCTAAGAAAACGTTAATTACCCATTTCAAAGACGAGCGAAGACGGAAATCAAGAGGGATAGTTAAGCCTCCCCTGGCTAGGCATGCCGCCTGCTGCTCCTCCTCTGAAAAAGAATACTATTGCATAGCTGGAAAGCAGAGACTTGGAATTCAGATGGCTCGAAATGGTGCCCTGGGTGTACAGCTTTCCAGCTGCACGACCTTGAGATGAACGTACATCCCCTGGAAGGAAGGGGTCGCTGTGATACCTCGTCCGGAAGCCTCACTTGGCTATTGGACAGGATAGCGAGTGCATCGTGAGCTCTGCCAATCACCACGGATAACGGCTATTTACTGGGCGCCACCGTGCGCCAGGCTCCGTCCTCCTATTTCACATGCGCCATCTTTGTCATGCCATTTAGAGATGCAGAGACGAAGCTCAGAGTCAGGTCGGGGGTAAGGAATGAAGCTTACTTGGTAGACTGCTTGCCCAAGGTACGTGAAGCCCTGGGTTCAGTCCCCAGCGCCACATGTGTTGTGGTACACGCCTGGGATTGATTCCAGCACGTGGGAGATGGGGGAGCACTGCGAAGCTGCCTCAGAAAGCCAAACAAAAGACGGCAATTGGCTTTCATAGATACACGGTAAATGGATGGGTCCGGGGTCAAACCTCAGGGGGTCCTAGAGTTACCACACTATACTTACACAGTCTAGCCACCACTTCAAAGACAAGTGATGAGAACAAAGCAGGGGCCATTTGCCTAGTTCTAGGAGACTGCTTTTTTTGGTAATGTAGAACAAAGTATCTAATGGGTGACATTATTTGTAGCAGTCATATGCAACAATAAAAAGCATTGGCCTTAGAAATGGGTGAATTGGTTTTAAGCATCTTGTGAAAGGTCTCATCTATCCCAGGGTAGTCTTGAACTTGATATGTAGTCGAGGATAGCTTTTTATTCCTCTTACCTCCACATCCCAAGTTGCTGGGATTACAGGCATGTGTCACAATTCACAGTGAAGAACTGGTTTTAAGTTTAACCCTATTTAGCCCAATAGTTGGCAACCTTTGTGCTTCAGCTTTATTTTCCTCATCTGTAAAATGGGTACATTGAACTTACTGGATCTTCCCTACCTACCCGCCTCCCAGGGCTGAACTCAGAGTCCATGGTGATGCCACATAGAAAAGATATTTTTAAAGGGACTTTTCTCTATTTAACTATTTATTCTATCCTGAGAAGATGAGAGCCACTCAGTGCTAGACCTTCTAGAAGCAAAGTAGTGTTTTCCCTGTATGGTGTTCATTAGTCACATGTGACAATTAAGATTTTTAAGTATGGCTGATATGGTAAACGAATTGAATTCCTTCTTCCCTACCTTTTTTTGGACACAGCTTTTTTTGATCTGTCCTCTGGCTGGCCTGAAGCTTGTGATACCTTGGTACTGGGTTTCTAGACATGCCTCACCATGCCCAGCGCAAGGAACTGAATTTCTAATTCTAATCAAATAGCCAGATTTCAAGCTGGCAGTTCAGTTCTGCTTAAAGAACAGAAAATGATAAAACAGTGCAGATACAGGTGGTGGCAGGGCCCCACTTCTCCCGCCATGAGCGGGGTGGCTTACCTGTGTTCAGCCTGTAATGTCCAGTGTCCCTGGACGCAGGGAGAGGCTGAGCCATGCCCAGCACCACATGCTGCCAGCACTCCACTTCTGAGATGCCCTGGTTGGCCCTGTCTCCTGATAGGTGACACTAGTCTCCCCGGATGGGCTCTGGGGACAGAGGACAGAGGAAATGGGAGAATAAACCCTCCTCTTCCTTTCCATCCTTACCCATAAGCATCATGGACATGCTTTCTGCTCCCCTAAGGCTTGTGAACAGAAAGTCCCCTCACCCTCCTTTCCTCTCATGGGACACCTGGCAGGTGCTGTCACGCCGCTTCCCTCCTCATGGAAAGTCTCTCCCTGTCTCCCCAGGGAGGTTGTCTTCTCCTCCCATTCCCATCTTGTGTCCACTTGGCCTGCCTGTATTGCCTCTGAATGGTCACTTCGGGAGACCTTGTTTTCTACCCTGTGGTTACTCATACTTTCCCTTGAGGTCACCACGGGGGTGGAAAAGCCTTGAAGAACAAACAATGCTCCCGTGGAGGAAGCTGCAAAGGTCTCTCTGGTCTTTTATTCTCTCTTCGATGCCCTCTCTGAGGCATGCTGACACTATAGTTCTGGACTGTGTCACCCTCCTCTGATTCATCACCCTGCTGCAAAACCAGCAGGTTCCAGAGAAAATCCCTCCCCTCCTTCCCTTCCTCCCCTCCCTCTCACATGCGCGTGCACACACACACACACACACAAACACACACACCCCTAAGGCTCACCCTTACCTAGTCTGTTTGGAAAGAAAAAACAAGTTCAGTGTCGAGGTCTCAGGGACTCTTTGTCTTTACCAGGTCAAAGGGCACTTGTGACCAACGGACCCATTGTTCAGATTGGTTACCCAAGCCCCAGATTAAACTTGGCTTCCACATGTTTCCATCTCACACGTCCTCTGGAGTGCGGGAGTTGCCCCTGTACTTCCTGAGCGTTCAACTTCCTCCTTTCTGAACAATGGATGTGCACCCCCCCCACCTGTCTTTTGAGCTCAAGAACTTTTGTGTCCTCTATGGTTGAGAAACTAGACCTGTCATTCATAGTCATTGTAGAGTAGGCGACTCAGCTTGCCACAGGCCTGGGTCCTGCGGGGAGATTGGAATTACCTTTGCAAACAAGGCCTAGGTCATTCATGATCTTGACCAGGCGGCTGCCGAAGTAGCTGCAGCTGCTGTGTGTCATTCTGAATGACGCATTTGTTGCTCACGCAAAGGAAAAAGAGTTATGGGAGGAATTGGGATAAGCAAAAATGGAGAAATCGGGCAGCCTCCCAGCTCCAGGTCAGGGTTTCTCGGTGACTGTGGCAAGGCATTGTGAATTCTTGGAGCATCAGAAAGGCACGGTCCAATTTAAGTATCAACGTACATTCCAAAGGCAAATACAACTTTTATTATCTTCAGCTTAGGAAGATTTGTCACTGTCTTCTCCTTTGGGCGGGATGACCAAGAGCTGACTATTCAGACGTATTTAAATCAGGACCTTGGGAGGTCGTTTGGTCTACCTCGCCTTGCCTCCTGACAAGGCCAGTCCTGTAGTGTGTGGATGCACCACGCACTGAGCACTGTCTGAGGGACCGTGGTGATCATTCTGCAATACAGCTCAGTTACTCAGGTCAAAACCCATTTGACTAATCTAAACCCCTCACATGGGAGCTTAATAGGCCATTTCCTTTAGCTTTTGTTTGGTGGCTGCCTTGAAGATATAAAGCCACCATTGTTTCACATAAAGACAGCCGGGATCCCTGCCTCTCATCCTACCGACTCCTTGGCAGCATCTCTGATTTAGACCTCTTACTCTTTCGTCTGCCCTGTATCCATATTAAATTCTGCTTCCTCCACTGTCTGATTGTAAACTCTCAGAGAGGCATGTCACAGGAGTCGATATTTTTAAAAATTGAATAGGAATGTTTTTACCTGTAGCACCCGTGTCCTGGTAGGAGCAGGCCCACCCATTATCCTACAGATCCTTCTATTAGCCCATCCCAGAATGTGTTTACTTTTTGCAACCCCTGGGATAATAGCCAGCTCGTTGGTTTAGAAGGTAGCTAGTACTTGAAGTCGCCTTGGATTTGTTGACCTTGTGGTGTGTCTGACCGGAGCCCTGTTACTCGGAGTATTTACTCTTTGAATAGGTTTGTTTTGCTTTGCTTTTTCAGTATCCTCTGTCTGGCTATCGACAGCATTGATTTTGCACATGTTGCGGGTGGGTCTGTGTTGTGTTTCGGATTCTTGAGTTAATTGTGATGGAAGGCGAGTGCGTGCTTCTGACTCTGGGAGGAGCAGAAAATGACCGCCCTTTGTTCTGCGGGGATGGGGGAGGGAAGGGGCGGCTCACCGCTCCTCCGCCACAGCTGGGCGAGTGTCTGCGCATATGGAGGGCTTATCTGCTAACCGGCAGGTGCGTGATTGAGGTCTGTGGATAGCTGCCTTCCCACAGGGAGAGGGGAGGACTTGATCGCCCCCAGAGAAGGCTGTGCACGCACAGACCGTTGAGGGTCTTCAGGACTGTTCCCTGGGCAAATGGAAAGCCCAGTGGCTTCCCCTTTTCTCAGTGGAACTAAACACCCAATCTCCAGTCTCACAGAGTCTGGAGAGGGATTCCTGTTGGTGTCAATCTGGTGCAATCCTTTACAGTTGTGGTCTAAGGGCAATCCCCGTAGGTCTGAGATAACCCCTCTGCCCTCTTTGTTTCCAGCAGGAGTTGGCTCCAGTGGAGAACTGTAGTGGTTGTAAAGTTTAAACCACGATTTAGATCAGTTTTTCTACACAAAGAGCATTCATTTGGTAAAACCTTAGCAGGCTCTTCACACTCTGGAGGGTTTCGTTTAAAGGATGTTGCAGATTGTAAAGCAATGTTTGGGCTTTTTTTTTTTTCCTCTCAATTTTGCAACTATGTCAGGAAACTTTTTTAATTTACTAAAGCTAATTGAATTATTTAAAAGGCAAACTGTATTCAATTACCTGATTAATCATGATCACGTAGGAGATACCATTAAA